TAAAGGTGGGTGGCATTACCTTCTTACAAGGGCTAGCATTGTGCTTTTTCATTTGATAACTAGCTTTCATACACTATCATTCAGTTCAGTATTTTTCTTCAACTTGAGTTATTCCAATTCCTAGCCACATTCTTGTCCTCATTTCCCTTCTTCTTTCCTTCCTTTCTTTTCTTTCCTTTCCTTTTTTTTTTTGCACTTATGTCATCCAACATTTACAAATTCATATGATCTTCTGATGGGCTGACCGGGTAACTTACTTGGGACACCCTTAAGAGCATAAAGGAAGAATCGCACTCAGTTATTACATTAGAACTTATAGATATTAACGGGAACGGACCAGGCCGACTAGAATGCATCCTGTCAGTCATCCTCCTAGCTACTGCAGACTCCTGTCCTGGGACTTAATGTCATGGTGTCTCTCTCAGGACTCCATTCTCTCCTGTGTTGACACTTCTATCAATATCTGTTCTTAGAACTGTGTCTATTTGCTTTCTAGATCACCTCATTGCTATTCAAGGCTAGACCACACCCCAGATTGTATTTTCTGACTTTCTATGCTCCTTCAGGTTATAAATCTGGTTAGTTGACAGAACTGGACAACTCTTCTGTGTCAATGTTTCTTGAGCACTTACATTGTGCCAGACCCCAGGTGAAGTGCTTGAGAGAAGAAAAAAAAAAAAAAAAGGGAGGGCAGGTATGGCCTGATGGCCTGATAGACAAGAAAGCCATATTTTAGAAGGGAATTTAAGCATGTTAAACACATCACCAAAGCACAGTGTGTTAAGTATAAAAACATCGGTGGGAGCCAGCAGTGTGGGCACACGCCTTAATCACAAAACTAAGGAGGCAGAGGTAGGAGAATCTCTGAGTTTAAGGTCAGCCTGGTCTACAGATCGAGTGCCAGGACAGCCAGAGCTACACAGAGAGACCATGTCTCAAAAAACAAAAAAATAAAATAAAATAAATAAATAAATAAATAAATAATAGAAATGGGGCCTTTGGTACATTGGTGACATGAAGTGTCATCTTTGTTTGGGTAGCCTTAGGAAGATTTAGAGAAAGATGAAGTCAACTTGCAGTTGACTGTATGAATTAATTAGAAAACACTTTATTTTGTGCTATTCTCCAGACACTAAGCTGTGCACTGGGAATGTACCTATTAGCAAGATGGACGTGGCCCTGTCCTCTTGGACTTTGCAGGATATTAGAGAAAGGCAGATGTTATGAAAGCAATGAAGCTTGCAAAGAGAAGAACTATATAAATGGAATCTAAGTAGCTCTACTTCTATTCCAAAACTGATAAGCTGAAGCCTGAAATGATGAGTAAGAGCAGCTAGCAGGTGGGTAGAGAGGGACAGGAGAGAGAAAGAGAGAGAATGTAAGACAGTGAAAGACTAAGAGGAGAAAAACATGGTTGGAGAGGAGAGAGAAGAATGCAAAGGACAAGGAACAAAGAGGAAACATAGGTACAGGTGACAGTATGCAAGACTTCTGAGACCATGTTAAGGATTTGGGACTTTATCCCAAATCAACAGAGAGTCATAATTTAACCTCTGCAGTGGATATAAACATCTGCTCTTCTTATTTTTAATGATTTTGTTGGTTGTTGCTGTTTTTGAAATCTGCAATTGTTAAAAGAAATCTAACGGTGTCTGCCTTTAACCCCAGCACTTGGGAAGCAGAGGCTGAGCCAGGCAGTAGTGGTGCATGCCTTTAATCCCAGCATTTGGGAGGAAAAGGCAGATAGATCTCTGTGAGTTCAAGGTCAGCCTGATGCACAGAGTGAGTTCCAGGACAGCCAGGGCTATAGAGAGAAACCCTGTCTCAAAAAAAAAAAAAAATTAGAGCCAGGCAGTGGTGGCGCACACCTTTAATCCCAGCATTCGGAAGGCAGAGGCAGATGGATCTCTGTGAGTTCGAGACCAGCCTGGCCTATAAAGAGCTAGTTCCAGGACAGCCTCCAAAGCCACAGAGAAACCCTGTCTCGAAAAACAAAACAAAAAAAAATTAGGAAGGGAAGCAGAGGCTGGAGGATCTCTGTGAGGCCAGCCTAGTCCACAGAGTAGATCTTGACTCAAAAGAAGAAAAAGAAGAGGAGGGAGTAGGAGACAGCAATAGTTTGATGGATACCAGGATTGAGTGGGAAGGTGAAAACAGAGGCAGGGTCTGTAAGTAACATTTCACACAGGTATGGCTGGGAAACAAAGAAGGTATGGGGGGAGAAGAACATGACTGATAGTCTATGAAACAGATGTTTTTTCTCTTTGTCTTTCTTTTTTCTGGTATTATGTTCAAGTGTTGAATTGAAAGACTCCTTTAAGTCGTCAATTTGATATTCAACTTGCATTGGCCACTTCTGCAGTGTTGGATTTGTTTTCCTCTCAGTGCTGTGGATGGAATGTAGGCCTTGCAATGCTAGGTGAGTGCCTACCTAAAACCACACCTTTCTTTTTTTTAAGCTTTACCAGGAGGAAGGCTCCTTCCTTCTCTAAAATAGGAGAGTGAGATACAGGAGCAAGCAGAAGTGAGAAGTTGACACAGTTTCTACTAGGTGGCTTTTGATGATATTTTGAAAATAGGTGTTCGGTAAATATTTGTTGATCCCAGCACTCAGAAGGCTTGGGTCAGGAGGATTGGTGTGTGAGAGGCCAGCCTGGGCTACACGACATGGTCCTGTTAAAAAAAAAAAAAGAATCAAATCAATCAAGTGAGAAAGCCATCAATCTTTATTGAATCGATGAGTGAATAAATGCTAATAAAATCTGAAATCCATACAGTTTTTATTTTCCCCTAGAAGCATTCTATTGTCAACAAAATAAAGCAAAGTTTAAGGATGGGATCAGCAGACTCGTAGGTAAAGGTACTTTCTGTCAAGACTGATGACCCCAGTTCAGTCCCTGGAATCACATGGTGGAAAAAGAGAACCAATTCCTACAAATTGTCCTCTGACCTCCGAATGAGTGCTGTGGTAGGTATGAGCACATACACAGAATAAATAAGTGTAAACCTGAAGATGACACACGAAAGTGAGTGGGACTCCGGGTGCTTTTAGAAATAGGGAGGAATGATTCAAAATCAAACCAGGAGACCCAGCATGGTGGTGAAGGCCTTTGATTATAGCACATGGGAGGCAGATCTCTGTGAGTTCAAGGCCAGGCCAGGATAAATAGTGAGAACTTGTCTCTAAACAAATAAACCAATATAACAGCCAGGATGCTAAAATGCACAGCCCTCAGTAGGGAAATTTGCTTCCCTGTTTAGAGTGAATGCAGGAGGGACTGTTCCATTCTGCATTTTGAAAATAATTATTCTTAGCCGGGTGATGGTGGTGCACGCCTTTGATCCCAGCACTCGGGAGGCAGAAACAGGTGGATCTCTGTGATTTCGAGGCCAGCCTGGTCTACAGAGTGAGTTCCAGGACAGGCTCCAAAGCTACATGGAAACCCTATCACAGGAGGAAAAGAAAAAAACCTAAGAAAGAAAATAACCATTCTTTTCCGTTCCCTAAATGTTTCAAACCACAGAGTTGCACTTGGAAGGGATAGCACAGAGTTACTGCTGATGCAATGCTATCGTTTGCCAAGAACCACAATGGATACAGTGGACATCATTTCCTTTGCTCCTCATCACCTTTACAAAGCAGGTGTAAAGAGTCTCTGTTAAAGATTGTGGAAACTGAGCTTCAGAGAAGATAAATGTGTCCAGGTCACCCAAGCCATAAGCAGCAGAGATGAGATTCACACCCAGGCCTGCTTTCAGGTCCTGTGAACTATGGTGCTGTAATCCATCTCAGATTTAAAAACTCTTCATGATGCCATCCATGGGTCAATTACTCCCTGGATACTCTTTTTTTTTTAAGAGTTTCCATCTTTTAATACTAAAATCATATCTTCATTAGTGCCTTATTTTAAGTCTCATCTTGTTCCAAAGCAAATGAAGGACTCAAAACTATATAGCTCTCTCTGGCCTCCAAAACCTTCAGCAGTTTGTCTGTGTTGCTCCCTGGAAACATTTCAATTTGCATTATAGTTGAGTTGAAGGAGAGGCTAAGAGAGATGGCCCAGCTGTCAAGAGCTCAGGCTGCTCTTGCAGAGGACCCAGGCTCAGTTCTCAGAACCGGAGTGGTGGCTCATACCCCTGTGACTCCAATTGGAGAGGATCCAACACCCTTGTGCACATATGTACATACAAGCAAATATTCACGAAATAAGTAAATGAATGAATTGGGCCTTATCTAACTTCTTGTGATTGTGAGTTACCATCATAGACCCATGCGCTCCTTCAAGCACAGGAAGCTCATCTCGTTTCTTGGGGAGGGGAGGATGTGGAGTAGGCACTGCCTATAGCTAATTTCTGGTGCCTCTTGCATGAAGTCGGCAAACAGGAGTTGGATTTCCTGGATCATCAATCTAAGTATTTATGTTAGCAGAATGTCTTGATAGGTATCTGTAGCTTCTTCAGACAGTTTCTTATTGATGCCAAGTTGCAAAACCAAATCATTTCTTATTTGTGCTGTGAATTTATTTTTCCCTTTTGGAAATCTAAATATGCAGGGGGTTGGGGGTGGCGAGGCTCTGGGTTTGTGTGCAGAGGGGACTATTTTTGAAAGACAATGTGAAAAGCAGACTTTTTATCTTGTTAAAGAAACTTTTTTTTAAAGCTTAAAAAATCTTATAAAAAGAAAAAAAAAGTCCAAATTGGTTGAACTTGAAGTTCCCTGCTGTCTTTTTCCTCCTTCAGGGCCTTTTTCTAAACCTACTTCCCTTAAAATGACTTTTATTGATTTTCACTCAATGAGGGTTATTCTTCAGAATGAGGATGGAGGGGTCAGAGAGAGAAATTTACCCGGTGTTACCCGAGGAATACATGTGCCTCCGGATCCAGTCTTTCTCTATTTGTTCTGTTTCCTGTATCCAGAAACCTGTTCACTGGGGATAACTAGGGTCCTCTGCGTCTTGGTCAGAGCTCGAGTACAGTATACTAATAGATCAATTTATGTGTTCATTCATTCAGCAAACATTTATTGAGCAGTCATGTCCTAGGCATTGGAGATACTAAGATGAATAAGACGTAGCCACTGCCCTCTGTGACCTCCAAATGTACAGGATGGCACCAGTCTGATGGGGGTTCAGGACAGGGAAGACTTGCAGACTAAGTTAGCTGTATGTCCTCCATCGGGGACTCCTTAGAGAATAAGATCAGCCCTGAAAAATAAATACAAACGTCTGGTCATATTGGCCAAAAACAGGTGCTTTTACTTACATGGTTCATTTTGTTGAGTGATTTTCCCCGTTACTTCCCCCCTCCAGTCTTATCCACTCTTTGGTCTATATTTAACATTGCCTTCAAAGCTATTTTTCTAAATCTCAATCTGATCATGTCATTTCTTTCTTGAGAATTTTTTCCTAGCTGTTCACTCATCATGGTACATATTTCTCAATATCTCTCTGTGATGTTTCAGAGATTGTTAGTGTTTGGGATGCTGTGACAGGCAAGCAGCCCGTTCTTGCAAGAAAGTTAACATCTAGACCTGGGAGCGATTCTTGGATTCTGACCTCTTACTTAAATAAGTTCATCCCATCACACACTAGAATCTGTAATACTAAGTGTGTTTGACACAATTGAATGAAGACAGATTTCTACTTTAAGAAGATCCAGGCAGGATGTTGGTGGCACATGCCTTTAATCCCAGCACTCGGGCGGCAGAGGCAGGCGGATCTCTGTGAGTTCGAGGCCAGCCTGGTCTAAAAGAGCTAGTGCCAGGACAGGCTCCAAAACAATACAGAGAAACCCTGTCTCGAAAAACCAAACCAAAACCAAAGCCAAAACAAAAACAAAAACAAAAGAAGATCCAATTTGCTAGTGGAGTTGGAAAGTTTAATTCACTGTTCCAATACCATGTACTAAGTGGATCGATAAATGCACTGGATTCTAGGAGAGCAGGCTTGAGAAGGGCTGCTGGCTGGGCGAGGTGGCTTTCTGAGAGCTACCATGTCTAAGCAAAGCCCTAGAGTAGCAAGAGGGATGAGCCAGATGGTGGAACATGTGACAGATGAGACTTGTATTAGTGAGAATTCTCTAAAGGAGAAGAATGGACAGAATGAGTCTATAGTACAAAAGGGATTTATTATGTTGCCTTCCACAATATGGTCTTGAGCAGCCTAACAACGGCTATCTTTGAACTGGAGAGATGGAGACCTGGGTAGACTAGGGACCTCAGCAGTACCAATTTGGCGCTGAAGACCTGGAGGATTCCTGGAGCGATACCTAGTCCACCTTGAAAACCTGGGGAGGCTGGGTTCTGATATTGGGAAGGCTATTCAGTAGCCCAGTGGTGGCAGCAGCAGCAGCAAATAAAATCACCAGCAAGATATGAAGTCAATGAAATAAAAAGCAAGGCTTCTCTCTTGGACTGCCTTTTATCTGGCTAACACCCAAAGGTGTCACTCACATTCCAGGTTGGTCTTCCCACATATAAAATCCTTCACAGACATGGTCAGCAGCTTAGTTGATTCCAGATCCAGCCAAGTTGTCAATTAAGATTAGTCATCTATCAACAAGTCTTCACCATCCAGTCTACCTTTGTAACTTCTATTGATTTTCAAATTAAGAGGTTTCCCTGGACTATTTGACGTTATGCATGAGAAAAAAACAAAACAAAACAAACAAACAAAAAAAAAAAACGTGCTGCCTTGATGTCCCTCATGTTTCTGTGGTATATGTAAGCCTAACTATATCTTTCTTTCTTTTTTGATTTTTCACGACAGGGTTTCTCTGTGTAACAGCCTTGGCTGTCCTGGAACTCACTTTGTAGACCAAGATGGCCTCAAACTCAGATATCTGCCTGCTTCTGTTTCCTGAGTGCTCAAATTAAAGGCATGCACCACCTCTGCCTGGCTCTATTTTTCAAGATAAAAAAGGGCTTATAATTTCTAATTTCTAAATACGAAGTGGCTTAGATACTACCTTATACACCAACACTCATCATTACCTCTGTTTGCTAGAAAAGTTCTAAATGTACTATGTAAAAGCACTAAGAAATATTATGTCTCTGTAATTTTGCATGCGCTATTTTTTGTCCTGAAGTTCACTTCCCATTCTATTTAAGATGCTATCCCATACAACAGTCATTTATGACTTCCTTTTTTTTTAAGAGTCTTGTTGTCATTTTTAATTACATGGGTAGGTTTAAGTCTGTAGGTAGGTTTGTGACATGCATGCGGTGCCCACAGATGCCAGAAGATGGCATCAGATCTTTTGGAGTTACAGGTGGTCAACAGCTACCAGATATGGGTGCTGGGAACCAAATGCAAGCCTTCTACAAGAGCAGTATGTGCTCTACTGCTGAGCCATCTCTCTGGCCCCACACAATGGTTATGTTTAATCAAGCGCAGATATTGTCTCATACAATAGTTACTTTTTGAATAGCCATGGTTGTTGATAACTCCTTATGTAAGGTCTCCAGGTGGAGTTGGCCTCTTCCCCTTGTATGTTTCCTCCAAGCTTTATTCAGAATTTCATGATAGCTCTGCTCACACTGTACCCCACATACGTATTTTCAAATCCTCTAGCAAGGACTATCTAATTTACTTGTGTATTCTTAGGGACCAGCAATTGGTAGACACTCAACAGGCACTTATAAACTGTTGAGTTTGAGGACCATTCCATGCTCTGTGTCACTTCTGCTCTTCCAGCAGTATCTTTGCTGGGAGTGATGGGACACACCTCCAATCCCAGTCTTTAGAGATGGTACTCACTTCCAACCCCAGTCTTTAGAGATGGTACTCACTTCCAATACCAGTCTTTAGGAGGCTGAGGTAAGAGGCTTGCAAATGCAAGGCCAACCTAGCCTAGCTACAGAAAAAATTTCTCAAAAGCAAAACCGATTAGCAACAATGTAAACTCTTCTCATCTTTAGGGACTGACATGTTGTTTACGTGTACGTGTGTGTGCATGCATGCATGTGCGTGTGTGTGTCACTCTCTTTCTTTCAACAGGTTTTCTCTGTGTAGTCTTGGCTATCCTGGAACTCACTTGGTAGTCCAGGCTGCACCCAAACTCCAAGATCCATCTGCCTCTGCCTCACGAGTGCTGGGGCTAAAGGCATCACTACCATACCTGGCATCACGCCATTTTCTAAACAACTGCTTAAGTATCAAGTCTTTATTTTGGGGGGAATTTCCTTTTCTAAATTTTTACACACCTGTTCCCCTAAATTGAACTATACAATGTACAATGTGTCACATGCTGACATGCCCCTGAAAATGTCAGGGTTGTGCTACTTGGAAGTGGTGATGTCCTTTTTGCTGCCTCCATATCAAAAAACCCCAGTCACTGCTAAATTTTTTGTTTGTTTGTTTGTTTTGTGTTTTGGCTTTTTTAGACAGGGTTTTTTTTGTGTGTGTGTGTGTAGCCCTGGTTGTCCTGGAACTCACTCTGTAGAGTTTGCCTGGAGTTTAGAGATCTGCCTGCTTCTGCCTCCTGAGTGCTGGGATTAAAGGTGTTTGCCACCACCACCACCCAGCTCTATGTTTGTTCTCAACCTAGTACTGTATCCTTTGTAATGGATATTCAAATTACCAAACTAGTATATTTGCATTGGAAAGAAACAGGAAGGTATGACTCTGCAGCCTTGGGGCTGCAGAGATGGCTCCTTAAAGTGCCTGACATACAAGCATAAGGACCTACATTCCACCTGCATAAAACACCCAGTGTGGTGGTATACATCTGTAAACCCAGACCTGGGGAGGCTGAGACAGGAGGGCCCCTGGAGCTCACTGATCAACTAGCCTATCCTAATTATTGAATTCTAGATCTTAGTAAGATACTCTGCCTTAAAAATGTGATGGGTTAGAGAGTTGGAAAGTGGTTAAGATCACTTGTTGCTCTTTTGGAGGACCTGGGTTCAGTGCCCAGCACTCCCACTGTGGCCCGCAGCCATCCATGCTCCAGTTCCAAGAGATCCGGTGCTCCCTTCTGACCTCCACAGGCACCAGGCATGCTCACAGGGCACTTAACACGTATGTCAACAGAACATTCATACACATAAAATAAAATACGTGAAAGCCAGGCATGGAAGCACATGACTTTAATCCCAGCACTTGAGGGGGCGAGACCAGAAGCAGGTGGATCTCTGTGAGTTCAAGGCCAGCCTGGTCTACAGAGTTTCCAGGACAGCCAGAGTGACACAGAGAAACCCTGTCTCATAAACAAAAGGCTTAAAAAAAAAAAAAGAAGAAGAAGAGCCGGGCGGTGGTGGTGCATGCCTTTAATCGGATCTCTGTGAGTTCGAGGCCAGACTGGACCGACAGTCTCCAAAACAATACAGAGAAACCCTGTCTCGTAAAACCAAAAAAAAAAAAAAAAAAAAAGAAGAAGAAAAAATATGGTAGATGATGCCTGAGAAAGAACCCTGGAAGCTGTCTACATACATACAGGCCTATATACATACATATACTCTTATAACCTGAACAGATACTTGTACAAACACATATATGCACTTGAATTCATTGAGCCAAAGAATTCTCTTTATTCCTGTGCCCCTTGGATATATACTAACCCATATCTACTTTTTCCCATTGCCTAGTCATAATTCATGTTAACAGATTAGTGTATTTCACTTTAGGCCTTTGCCCATGGAGGGGTGCACATGCATTATACATACCAATACCACGTCACAGCGTGTGTACTATTTTCTGACTTCTTTGTCTTCTCACTTGAGGGTATATCATAGGCCTCCTTCCATGTCAGTCCATCTGAGTCTATTTCATTCTCTTTAATGGCTGCCCCCTTTTAATTTGACAATCTTAATCATCTGTAAATGGGAAAGCCAAATAATCAAGCTTATTAGAATTGTACCTAAGAAAGAGTAAATCAGCTCTGAGTGAAGGCCTGTGGAGTTCTCCTAGGAGTAAAATGTATTAACTTTAGTGCGTATACTTTGTAATGTTTATTTTGGCTATTCTGGGACTCTTTTTGCTTATTTCCTGCCTCATTGTGTTTTGGATAGCCAAGGTTGCCAAACATGTGACCTATGAATTAACGAGGTATTACTTGTTCAGTTTTGCATTGTACGTTTTTGCTATTGTTTTGCATTTAAGGTTTTCATTATATTGTCCTTATAGACAGTGACTATTCTACTTTCTAAATATTTGCATCTCAGTGCAGAGCACTGCAGATGACAGTTGCTAAACTGTTTAGCTTGATGGCTGAGCTGACATAGGGCTTTTCATGGGTTGTCCACCCGTAAGATTGTGACCAGGACTTTAGGGGAACTCTACAAGTTGATCTGAAGGAGCCTTTTTACCACTTCTGAATGTTAAAATACAAAGAACCAAGTTGGATGTGATGACACATGTCTACGTCCCCAGATTTAAAAGGCTGAAGCAGGAGGATCAGGAGTTTCATTGGGTCAGCCTGGGCTGCAGTGTGAAATCCTGCCTCAATTAACAGAAACAAACAGGATGAACAGCATCTTGAGTTATAAGTACTAGAACCCATATAAGGATTTTTGCTGTCATCTCCTCGGGTGGGTAAAATGGCTTGATCTGGTTGATTCTGCCTTTAGATTCCTCTATGATATTTCCTGTCTCTCCATTGTTTACTGGTCTAGAATCTTGATTCAGGGACTTCTCAATTTCACCTGCAACAGACTTTTTTGGTTTTACGAGACAGGGTTTCTCTGTATTGTTTTGGAGGCTGTTGGTCCAGCCCGGCCTCGAACTCACAGAGATCCGCCTGCCTCTGCCTCCCGAGTGCTGGGATTAAAGGAATGCGCCACCACTGCCCGGCTGCAACAGACTTTTTAATTACTTTCCCTGTCTCTTGTTTTACCTCCATTCTGCCTACCCTTTGACTAGTGATTGTTTGAAAACAGAAAGGGTTTCTCTTCATCTCTGGGATGAAGTCTACTTTCCTTAGTTTAGTACATAAAACCTATTGTGATGTGACCCACTTCTGCCTATCTCTTGAGGCTGAATGCCTCATATTTCAATTTCCAGGGACTACCAGTGGCTCATGGTCTAGGTGAGCCTATTAGTTGCTTATTTAAAGAGTTGCTAATTAAATATTTTAAATCCAAACATGACACAGAAACTTAGTTGTTACTGTTGTTGTTTGCTTGAGACAGGGTCTCATTTGTAGCCCTGACTGGCCTAGAACTCCCTGTGTACATCCGGCTGGCCCGGAACTTGCTGTAGCCCTCCTGCATCTGCTTCCTTGGTACTGGGATTATAGGCGTCAATCACGGAACCCAGTTCTACACAAACTTGAATATGGAACATTTAGACACGTGCTAAACATGAGGGAAAAAAAAGGATGATAAAGCCATACCAAAACAGTTTCATTCTGTTTTAGACCATTTTTTGTTTGGTTTTGGTTTTTTGAGACAGGGTTTCACAGACCAGGTTGGCCTTGAACTCACAGAGATCTGCCTGCCTCAGCCTCCCAAGTGCTGGGATTAAAGTAGAGTGTCACCACCCCCATCTCTGTTTTAGACTATGTATAATCCTGTGAGGTTCTTCGCAGGATGGGTTATCCTAGAGGAAGAGAATTTTTTTTTTCCAGATGAGAAGTCTGACTTTTCAGAAACCAAGCCACAAAACAAAGGAATTACTTCTAAAAACCAGGATTAATTTTGGGTTGGGCTTTGCTCTCTGAGCTAGGACTACCTGCTCTAATCGTAAAACCCTCTTAGTCTCCGTTTCTTTTTTTTTTTAAATAAAATAAGAATATTAACTCCAGAATTAACGGATTAAATGAGACTATGTAAAGGCAATTAGTCTCATAGCCCGGCTCTGAGAAGTTTTGTTAATTCTTTGTCCATTTCCCCAATATATCTTTCATACTTGATGAATTAAACAATTTGAAGAGAAAGACCTGTAGTATAAACATCACTGACACCGGTAAAAATTTTTATTCACAAATCTGGGTGTTAAACTAGGCCCTTTCTTCTTTCTCTAAAAATCGGTTTTAATAATATCCACTTATAACTTTATTTTTACAGGAGAAGACTCCCAGTAGCATTCAAAGCACTAAACAGCAGGTAGATCTTACAGGAAAAGGGTAGAGTTTTACAATGGAGCCAAGGTTTGGTGGTCAGTGTGCAGCACTGACGTCAGTCTTCAAAGATTTACCCATTTCCTCTTGGTCACTTTGGTTCAAGAGAATCGCGCACCAACCACTCATTCAGAAATCTCCAGAGGGTAAGGAGGAGAGATGTAAACAAAGGCAAAAGACCTCTTGAGTTTCCACTGAGGCGGGCTACCTAAAACCATCCAGCCCTCTAGTGAGGGCAGATAGGTCTGTTCTCCCGGAGTGCCCGGGGTCTGGACTCCATTTCCCAGAGTCCCTTAGTACCCTAATGTATTCAGTGCTCAGAGTGCCTGTATGTGTGTGAGTGTGAGAGAATGTGTGCGTGCATGTGTGTGTGAGTGTGTGTGTGCGCGCGCGCGCGTGTGTGTGCGCCTCCGAGTCCCTGGGAGAGTGGAGGCTCATTCACTGATTAGAGCCAGCGCTGAGAGGCAGCACTGCTCTTCTCTCACACCAACCGAGTCTCTTGATCTGTACATGCAATCCCAGGCAGCTCGCGAGCACAAACCCGGGGCCAGCCGCCTGCTGCTGCTGCTGCCGCTGCCGCCGCCACCGCCGCCGCTGCCTCCGCCGGCTCTGCGCACCCGGGACTTTTCATGCACCACACTCTCCGTCTTCTTACCTTGGTGTCCTGAAAGTGCGACCGTTCTCCCCAGGAATTTCCACGGCAAGTATGGAGCTTAGGAAGGGGTGTGGATGCGTGTGCGTACACAAGAGGGGTGGGCGCGAGGGCGGCCGGGTTGCCGAGGAACCTGGCTAACTTTCCGGGTTGGTCTCCCAGGGATTCGGGCGGCTCCCCTGCGACGGGGGCAGGGACTGGGACCTGCACTGCCGCGTCTCACATCTTGGCGACCGAGCCTCTTAGCTGTCGGTGCCCGGCGCGCTCTGTGCGCTGCCTCACTCAAACTTTCCGTCTTGAGTTTTCCTTAATGTGTTTTATTTGGGGGGGTGCAAGGGGGAGGGACCAGACGCTGGAATTGGACAAGTAGGGAGGGCGAGGGGGATAGCCAGGGGAAGCGAGCAGGACTTCTCCATCTTTTTATAAGCCCCATTTCCACTTTGTTTGGGTCGACCGCGAGTAAGCCCTCTTGCCTGGCTCCCCCGTACACCCCGCTGTGATTTCCTGCGGGGCCAGGGCTAGGTGGTACTTAGTGGGGAATCTGAGGCTGCGGGCGGGATAGGAAAAGGGGCGATCCGTTGAGAAACGATCTCAGCCGCACAACACATTGCCGACCTGGTGGGGTATCCGGGAGACTCTGGAGCCTTGGGGGTTCCGGGAAGCTCGACTTACTTTTTCCTGGCGGGGGCGGGTGTGAAGGATGGGGAAGAAGAGCGTGGGGGTGGGATGGGGGAATCCTCCGCCCTCAGGAAGAAGGCAGGTGCTGCCACTGAGGTGAACCGTGCTACATATAACCGGTAAACTCCCTGCTCTGCTGGGCTGGACTGGCCAGGCCTTGGAGTAGCGGGATCCGTGCTGGTCTCCTGGGATTTGGGGGGGTCGGGATCCCCTCTTCCAGCGACTCTAAGGAGCGAGACGGGAGGACGATCCTTTAAAATCGGGCGCCTTGCTCTATTTGTATTATTTTTTAATCTTCGACCTGTCTTAAACTGAGTAACAATTTCTCTTCTCCCGACTTGAGAGCAAAACTTTTCAGCGAGCACGCCGGTTGCTGCGGTCCTGCGGCCACCGCTGCCGCTCTCGTCACCCCGGGCCGAGCGACCTTCTCCGCCCGGAGCCCGGCCCAGCCACCGCGCTCCGGAGCCTCCGGCCGCCCCCCACCCCCAACCCGGGGCTTTTCAGGGCTCGGCCTGGGCGTTTCGCCTTTGTGCTTTGTAAGAGAAAGGCTTTTCTTCCAGCGCACAACAAACTTGGGCGGAGAGCTTCCGTATGGCCCCCCGGGCGAGGCCGCCCACGGTGGTGAGGCCATCTAGGGATGCGAGGTTCGTCCTGCGACACAGTATCCCTGCAAGAGCTCGAGGCCCGGGTGACCGTGGCCCGCGAGGGCATGCTGGAGCCCCGAGGTGACGGGGTCTCGGGGTGTTGGAAAGCAGAGGACGCATTCTCCTTTCCCATTAACAACGCACTGCCTTCTCTGGTCCGGGTCACTGCTCCAGTCAAGGCCCGGGGTCTGGGCCGGGAGTCGGACGCACATCGGGTGGGTAGAGTGCTTAGGGCCAGGGCCACCCGGATGGGGCGCGGCCCTGTCTGGGTGGCCTAAGTCGTCCCAGGTCTCCCGCCTGTGCCCTGTCGCTACTCCAGAAACAGCTGAAAGGGAAAGCACCCGCGCTCTCTGCTCACGATGTCCTGCAGCCACGACCCACTTCCCGCCTCCGCTGTGGCCTCGGCTTGAAGAGGCAATTGGTTTTTTTTGGGGGGGGGGTGATAAAGAGAGAAGGGGGCGAGGAGGGAGGAAGCAGCGAGTAAGACTGATTGGAGCCGATCGGGCTGGGGCCCTGAACCCCCCCCCCCGCCCCCGGCTTTTCTCGCAAAGGGAAAATGAGCCGAGGGGTAAAGGCAGAAAGAGCGTCGAGAAAGATCCAGGCGGGCGTTTCCCGTTCGGATCCCTCCTGGCCGGCAGAGCCCGGGGCTTAGTGGCGTGAGTTCTCTCGCTGCGCTCCGGGCGAGGAGGGGGGAAAGCCAAGGACTTGGGAGAGATGCTCCTCCGGGCACGGGCGCGAAGCGAGCCGGGACACACCTGTTCTCCAGCCACACCGGGTTTTGCGGCTGGGCGGTAGCGAGGGGAACCGCCGAGCTCCTACCCCATGCCCGCAGTGCGGGAACCGCCAGGGCCTTGCGGCCCCGCACCCGCCCTCATAGGGAGCGGAGCGGGGTGGAGGAATCAGTGGCTGCCGGCTCAAGGGGCGCACGGTCACCGCGTCCGGGTGACCCGCGGGGCGGCGCGGTTTAGGGGCTCCGGGTCCTTGGACTTTGGTCCAAAGCAGGCTGCTTCCAGCGCCTGCCCCCAGGCAGTGTGCGCCTTCAGACCTGGGTTCCCCGGCTTGTGTTTCTTCCAGGACTGGCGCCTTGGTTCCCCAAAGTTAAACTGTTTCGAGCTGAGGTTGTTGGGGTCTTTGTACAAAGACAGGCAAGAGCGAGAGGGGTCAGACCACCGAGTGGTGGGTTTGGTTCAGAGTTGACCCCAAGTTTATAGAGGTTTCTCTTTCTCTTCTTGTTCCCTCGTTTTCCCTAAAAGAGTTATTTTTACCCCTGGGTTGAGACTCTTCGTGGTTGAAATCCGCACCGCACGCTCGGCATCCCGCTTCCGCGTGCTCTCGGATCGGTCAGGCTGTCGCGGATTCGCATCCGATGTCGAAGCAGGACCTGGGTCTAGATCCAAATGTGTCACGGGTAACCCGGCCGGGTCTGAATAGCAGGCGTCGGCCCTAGTCTGGGAGCCGTATTAGCCTTATGATCCTTGAGCCCTCGCACATGGTGGTAAATTTTCTGTTAGGGCGGTGTTTCCACATACCCGCTGGGCATTTGGTGTGCGCGGGGGGGGGGGGGGGGTGGTGGTGGTGGTGGTGGTGGAATTCTCTTCAAGCGAAGTCTGTGAACTTAAAAAAAATTCTTTCCTCCATTCTTCAAAACCCCCCCCCGCTATTCTGGCCTCATTTCCCATTGTTCTTTGCTTTTTAAGTTGCCTGTTAATTTTTTAAAAGTTTATTTATGCAAAGGAAAAATATCGTTTAATTTGTTCTATTATTTTAAGTCATGGCTTTTGGAAACGGTTCAGAGACCACAAAAATGTCACCTGTTGTAATAAGCAGAGGCGCGTTGCGTGTGCATTTTAATTGCCAGCAGAGTCCTAGTTTGGTGGGCACCCTAAGCTCAGCTCTGGGAAAGAGCTTGCTTTGTGGAAGTCATTTCCAAGTGGGTTTGGCTCTACACAGCCAGCAGGAGCAGCGACACCGCTTCCTTGCACTGCCATCCCCGGAGCTGGTGAAGAGGCCCCGACCCTAGGCAGGGGTGGGAGACAGCTCACTGGCTGGGACTTTCTGTCTGGCTTTCGGTTTTTCCACACCAAGTGGCTAGTTTGCATCGGAGAGCACGAATCGCAACGCACTAGCCCAGTCTCAGATAATTGCACATTCTAAAAGCCAGCTTCTTCATTTGTCTTGGTTCTGGCATGTTTAACCACGCAATTAGTAATCTCACTAATTATTCAGTTAGCCGACGTTTTGTAACCACTTTAAACCAAGGTCGGATGTACGGAACAAACAAACTCCCATACGTACAGAACTGAACGAAACCATTTCAAGGATTTGAAAATTTAAAAACTCGATATTTGTTGGTCCCTCTGTCCAACCTCACTGCCTGCCGGACAGTTTATTTAGCTGCGTGGATTGATCCCTCCTCCTTGTTTAGTTAATTCAACAAAGACTTTTTGCAATCTGTTTGGAGTTTGTCTGATGCCGTGGAAAAGTAGCTGATGATTTATTTGGTTGCTTTTCGATTTCTGTCTTCAGCCCTTCTTTCTCCTCCTTTCAGCGGGGATGTCAGCTGTTATTACTTCCTATTGATCCCTTTGCAAAGTGAGAAGTGAACTAAAATTAATGTCAATTCCACTGCTCAGATCAATAGCTGGAGTTATTTTAATCTGGATTTGCACGAAGTGCTAAATTAAAAAAAATCAGCATAGAGGCAGAAAAGTACCGGTTACTTACTTTCTCTCTGCCCGGTTCTTCACAGCCACCCAAATGCACCACCAAGCTGATTATCTTACAATCCATATTTTTTTAATTAAGAGGGTCAGTTAGTTTTCTTATTTTGGGTTCTGTGTTTAAACCCATGACATTTTGACATTGGGAGTGTATTAACTATAGATTTTCATAATGACTATGGTCTGCTGAAGTCTCATCTATACTGTTAATGTGAGGAGGGGGAAAAGAAAGAAAGGGAAAAGAAAAAAAATGCCCCTCCTCCCTTGCAGAGACCAACGCCCACACAGTGAAGTAGAGGAGATGTGGCCTGGGAAAATATTGTTGATTTATTTTCAGTATAATGAAGTTTTCAAATGAATACTCAGGTTTGAGTGATTCACCACATTCTATTGGAGTGTCCGGTGCTGTCGCCAGATCACTAATTTATGAAACTCATTTAACATAATGAGGTGATCTAGGAAGTAAAAATGGAAAGTGAACCCTGGGGCGGGTTATTTTGGGGAAGAAACATTCCTCTCCTCACCCCTGGGGTGTTGTGTCTGTCCTTCCCTCCAGCCAGCTTGTACTGTGTGTGGTTTGACAGACATGCAGTTACTCATTTCTGTTGTGAAGGGCTCCGTAGACCCCTTAGAACAGCCCTAGACCCCCTTTCAAGCATCCATGTTGTGGGACCATTAATCTAACTTGAAAACAGCCAAGAACAGAATTCCCAGACACATCAGGCTAACTGGCTGTCCTTGGCAGACCATTCCCTACCCTGCTAGAACTTGACAGGAAAGTTATTTAAAATTTGGAAGAGAGAAAATCCGTTAATGTGAGATACATAATCTGGTAATTTAGCAATGATGTCTATAAGGAGAGATGCCAAATGAGGAAGCAGGCTGATGGTGTCCACTCATCTTCCCAATTAATAACAGTCATTGACACGTCAGCTGCAGGATGGGAGAAGGAAATACTCTCCTTGCACTGCATTAAGCAGGGGGGACCATCGGCAGCTTAACTGAGGGTTTTCTCCTTGAGGGAATACCAAAGATGTCCCGCTACAGAGGTGGGCTTCTTAAAAGGAGGGGACCAGTTTTTATTTTTGACATGACTCTCAATTTATAAATTGTAACAGATGGCAGTTTGGATTATACTTTTAAGCTCTGTTCAGTTTCTACCAAGAATACAGATTTGAAGCTAGCAAGTCCTTCTATTCATCTGATATTACCCTGCCTTTTGATATACAGTGCTTCT